TACCATTCTCGGCTTCATTGCTGATTTGGTCGATCTCCGAACAACTGAACAACGAGTGAAAGAAGAGTTCGAAACGTACATCGCGTCTGATGCATTTAAACAATATGTGGACAACATGGCCGATTCATACAAGAAAAGGAACTTTGATATTTTTTTTTATTACGTGGATGCAGAGGTCGCTGGTAGCCAAGCTGACCCGGAAACACTGCGAGCTGAAAAAAAGAAAATCACCAAATGTCTTAGTGAGAGGGCTGAGCAGGATTTCGAAAACCAAGAACTTCGAATAGCCATAATAGATGCAACAAAACTTGGCAAAAAGTTGGAAGGAAGATTTAATGACGACGAGATTCTGGCGGGGTTTGGYCCAGATGAARTWTATGGCAAAGAGGGTGATGACATCTTGTTTGGACGAGGCGGTGATGATTCCATATTTGGTGGTCCTGGACATGACTATCTTAATGGCGGAACAGGGAGAGACGTTCTTTTGGGTGGAGAAGGTGATGACGTCATCGATTGCGAACCCGGTGTTGACACAAGATGTGAAGGCCAGCAAGGACGAGACATTTTAGAAATATCTGGGCCTGCTTTGGTTTATGATGACCATCATTACCTTCGACGTTGCTTCATCATGGCGCCAGAATGGCAAATCATCAATAAACCTCCAAGGGCATCTCCAGTGAAAGGAATTTATCTCAACATTGGGGGACAAAATGGTATTAGCCTGGGGTCCGCTTTTCACGGATGGCCGGGTGGCTTAAATGAGGACATTCACAAGCCTGCATTCGTAATTTCATCTTCTTGTAATATGGAACAAGACTTTATCAATTTTTTTAATAGAATGAGCACTCAGCATGTAAACAATGCAGACGAACTGGAAGATAAATTATTATGGTATATGGCTAAAAAGTACAGTAAGAAGTATTTCTGTGATGGAGAATCTTTTTATGAAGTCACTTCTCCAACCTCTCCGATGCGAGTCGTAAGGAATGCAATAAATTCTATCAGTGAAACCTGCGCTGAACTAGATACAGACGATCGTTTAAAGCCAAAGTCGTCAAGCAAAAGTGTAGAAGCTCTTATGGTGTTTGCCTTTCGCAGGAGTTTTACTTTCGATGAATTTGTAAAATTTTCAGCTGGACAGCCAGATGATTTGGAATTAATATCCAATTACATTCCAACAACCTTCATTGGGAACAACAAAGACAATGTAATCGATGTATCGTTTGGTCTTGGAGACATGGTGTACACTGGTGAAGGGAACAATGTTGTTTCCGTTGGTTCCACTATTAATGAATACTGGTATACCAATAAGGATAAAATATCAGGAGCCGCACGACACAGTGGTTTTTATAAATGGGCAAAGTACGTTGTTGGCGGAAGCGGAGAAGACACGCTGATTATCCAGTACATGACTCCACCAGGAACAAGTACTGGTAATAGCTTTTATGGCCAATGGATGCTGAGAAATACAGACAGATCTTCTGTAAATACAGCTCCTACAGACAGCACTTCTGTATCTCAATTCGATGTTAAGGAAAACCATGTCGTTTTCTTGAAAAACATAGACACCGTTGAAGTACACGCTCCTCCAAATGATGAGGTGAGACCTATCAAGATAGATGCTCAGCACTATGATGGAGCAACCAGGTACATTCTCGATAAAACCACGTTTTTCAAGGGTCCTATCTCAACTGAACGAGGTGTCATGGTACTACCAAGGTCACTACGAGGCACCAATACCATCGAGTTTGGCGAAAACACAAAGAGTACCATGTCTTTTAAATATTACGAAGATGAAACACTGGTGATTGACACTATCAATATACATCAAGAATCTGAACACGACGATGGCAGGGTAACTTTAAAGCCGCGTGGTCATGATGTGCTGCTAAAAAACGTTATGAACGTTGTCAGTTTCTCATCTTGTAAGACAATAACTGGAAGCAAAGAACCAAATATGATCATTGCCGAGGGAGGAGAAACAACTATCAATGCGGGAGAAGGAGATGACACTCTAGTAAGTGCTCGTGGAGTGCATACATTGAAAGGTGGAGAAGGTGCTGATACCTTCGTAATTCAAGGCCCTGTTATAGTGGACTATTTAACAATCTCCGTCAATATGGGAAGAGATGGAACAACTATCCGTTGTTCAACCACCATATATGGAGTATGGGATGCCGCACAGAAAGAACTAGAAATCGACGTACTTAAAAACGACCATGCAAATGTGCTCTTAACAGCGGTGGAAATAATCCCGGGAGAAGGTGACGAAACGAGGAATTTGGGAACGATCACCAAAGATAGAACAAACAGGAAGCTGATATACTCACCTGGATCAAATTTTAACGATTTACATAGGGACACAGCTAAAGTAGTCCGAATAAAATTCACAACAAAAGGAAGCATGGCAACGATTGATGAAGGAGACTATGGAAACAAAATACGATTTGACTCGGCAGCAAGTCTTGAGGATATGACAGCAGATATCGAAAACAATAAACTTGTATTCAAAAGCAAGGCAAACCCTCCACAAACTGTTTTCATTGACGAAGAATGGGGCAGAAAGCTGATCAATGGAGTCTCTACTAATTTGCTTGATCTAATTTTGGACTTTGCCTATCGGTTCTCCGTAATGCTCTTTAAGACAAGCGACCAAGAATTCACTCGCGTGGATGCGCAATCTATAATGAATTTCCTCTATCAAAGTCTAAAGAACTATGAAACTGACCTTAATCAAGATTTCGACACTATTTTTGATTCTACAGGTGTTTCATCTGATGAAACAACAATCAATGTTGGAAATGGTGCAAATATTGTCCTAGCTAAAACAAAAGGTATAACATACCAGCTTGGTCCGAAATCGTCTGGAAGCATCATTTTTGCCAATGGACCATTCAGAGGGGGTTCAGGAAATATCATTGTTAAAGGTGCCACTCAGTGTAGTGATAAGTGCCACAATGTAGTTGTTGTTGGGGCTGGATCTAATGTAGTGGTGGAAGTTTGTTTGGGTAAGCATGATGTAATCGTTACTGGTGCCGAACTAAACGACGTACAGTTTATAACCCACGGCAGCGATTCACTATGCTTAAAAGCCCAAGGAAAAACATTGATTGGAAAATCATGGCATTACAGTAATTGCAGGCATCTTTTCTTCAAGAAATCAGAAAAAACTCAGATCCTAGTGAATTGCCAAGACATCTTAGAAGCTAAGATCACAGGAGGTCACGAATTTCCCATAATAGTCTCTCACGATTCTGATAGTCAAAATCTCAAACTTGAGCTACCATTCAGTAAACAAGATGCGGAAGTCGAACTTTTCTATGAATATAGACAAGGTACACTTTGGATCTCCTTCAGACAAAAGGATTCTCCAAAGGATGAGCACTATTGGCGTAAACCTTACATGGTTATTGAGGCTGGAAAATCAAGGCCAAGGTCATTAGACGCACGTAAGTTGGTGAATGCCATTACAACCAAGTTCAAGGCTGGCATTAAGCTTAGAGGTTATGAGGCGAATACAAATTTCGATACGTGCACATTTGTAAAGGAAATGTTAGGAAACGTCCCAAAGAGTCAATGGGAAATCGAGAATTGTGACCTGGATTGCCGAGAGCTCTTCCCGCCTAAAGACAATAATGAGTGAGGCTTTATAGGAACATGAATAGCCACAAAGAGATAAAAAAACATTATTGATTTAAAAATATACAACAAACTGATAAAATTGCATGAAAACTCTAAGCCATAAGGAACGAAATTCGTGGAAAGAAATTAAATTGTATGAAGAACAGAATCTATTAGGAAAAAAGTGATAACATCATCCTCAAAAAGTCCACTTCAACATTAGGCATTGAATAAAGGTGACTATTACCAAAGAAAGAAAGAAAAAAATAATTGCATGAACATAACATATAAGAATCCTGATTTTAAAGRCAATGAGCGCAAATAAACTTTCAGTTAAACTGATTTGACATTGTTTATTCAGTCTTAATTGTTCCATAGTCGTAGTGGCGGTGTGAATTCTCATACATTGATTCTTCCTGAAGAATCATAATCATAACCATCATAATTATCAAAATTATATCATAATTAGTCTTCAGATCAATCTCTTCTTTGTAAATTTCAAAGTCAATTCATGTCACATCATCTCCAATCAGGAAAAAGATAGCCCAGAACTTCGGCTTATATGGCCTCATCCAGGGCCTCGTCTCACATGTATCGCTTTGTTTCTCGCAGGCTTAAAAGTCCATCAGTTGATTTGGTTGATTCTAACTATCTTGAACTATAACACTACCTTCAGTGGCAAATGCTTTAATCAAACATGACAGRCTTTAGTACATGGTTTACATTGTCTATTTGCACTTAATTAACAATGAAATTTCGATGACAAATAGGTATATAATAAAAGAACGAAAATGGGACTGTTAAGCCTGGTTATGACTGAGGACGACGCAAGCGTATGATAACAAGGAGAAGTGAATAAAATGAAGTCTAGATGTTATGCATTCTTATAACATAAGATATTTAACGTATGCATATCATTGAAAAGGGTTGCCAATGAAGAAAATATAAACAAAACAAAAGCCTAGAGTCATCGTAAGTCTTATAGTGAAAAAGAAGTGCTTGTTTTTTTTTTTCGCTTATGAGTCGCAGATGAGAAATCTGTGTTAAGAATGACAAAGCATTTCATTTTCTTGTCTTCATGAATTATGAACAGTTCATTAAAGTGTTAATAAAGTCATAAAAAGCACGCTTTATATTAACTGCTTAACTCTATGTGCGCTTCATTGATTTCAGCATTAAAGTGACCCTTTTGGGAATAATTTTATTAGGAAGGTGTAGATTAACCTAATCCCTAACCACAATTGATTTGCAGTCTCTTATAGCCAGCGCATAGACGGACTTCATTAAMTTWGGATAAAACTGAAGACTGCGAAATACACTGAAAGAAAAAAGTTTATTGTTTTACTCAGTGTRAACATCAACCAATAACCGTGTATAGATAATTAATTTTTAACACGCTTTTGTTAAGATRCGTTGACCCTCAGGGCAAGCCACTTTTGTTACTACAGATCAAATACCGCCATTGTTTATCCACTGTTTCGTTGGAGACGGAACCGCGAGCTCTGTCGGCTACTGYAAATAATCACGTTTGTTATAAATTCCTGCACACTTTGGTGGTAATGTAGAAGTGTCCCACCGAAAAAGTATAGTGGAAGAATTTAAAGTTTTTATACTTCAAATTGTATATGGTTTTACGCCATGGATTCAGGTAAAAGAACAAAAGATGAAGCCACAAATGTACAGCAAGCGCTACGCAGACTGAAATATCTCCATACATCGCWTGCAAGTCCTACAAAACTAAAAGGATCGAACTTAAAGCCAATACAAACAACAAGTTCTCCGCCATTAAGCGAGTTAAAGGACGATGATAACGAGGAATTAAATCAACGTTTATTTCTTGCGTTGTCCCCTGACAACAATTTCAAGCCATCGCCAAGAAATGATAGACGTATTTTAAGACAGCGTATCGGATTTCGACCAGTTTGCAAAGGACGTGTTCCACTGAGAAGCTMTCAGAGCTATTTCAATCCAACTTTTCGACCGCTTACAAAGAAGAGAACAAATCCCTTGGACAGACWGACGAAAGGCTCTGTGAAAAGTGGTAAAGATGCAGCTCAACAGAATAATGACCGTACGGCAAAATCAGCCCCTGCGTCAGGGGGGACRTCGTCTCTYAACCCCGAGGAGTTCGATTGTATCCAATGTTTTGCCGAYGAAGTAAAAAGAYTTMAACATAAACAACAATCACAGCAAYAYGAAGTGRACGGTCAATATAGAAATAATGATATTAAAATTAATCGAGTTACATTCTCAGCGAGGCCAAGATCAAAAGTAACAGGGGKCTCAAAACAACGTGTTTCTAAAGTAATTAGCGAGAAGYCGCTTGATATTCCTCCGACATTGTATGGTGGATGGGGAGTACGTTCAAATAGACGACCACAACCCGAAGCAGCGCGCACTAACCCGCGGGAATCCCGCAGGAACGTGGACTTGAATGCGCATTTCCAGACACTTCGTATCACACCGTGCGGGTCAGATGATGGATCAMGAAGGAGTGATTACAATCAATGCTCTCCACCGGCCGCACCTCCGACACCTATACGGCAAATAGACATCAAAATGCCGGAGGGACATTTGGTTCAATACCGGCTTCAAACTGTTCCTTGATTAGTTTAATAATGTATAAAGTGTGAAAACGTAGTTAATATGAAAATCAGCATTTTTTTTATAAACGGAACAATGACATGTATTAAAATTCCATCCATTGGGCTTTCAATCTGTTTTTAAAACTTATCCTCCCCTCCCCTGATACGTTTTTCTTGTAAGTTGTCCTCACCAGTCCCCATAGGTCAAATTTCCTAATCCATGCGGAAGAATCTTGACACTAGCAGTCCAGCAGAGCTCTCCATATATTTGTTTCGAACTTGACAGAACTATTTGGWTTTAACTTACAAGCTGACGGTTAGAGATTAAGGAAGATAATACAAAAAACTGTAAGTGTTTCTGTGAAATTGTACTTTAAAAGCGATATGTTTTGCTTTGATGGACGAAGCGCGCATACCAGCACGATTTGGATTTCACAACAGTTRAGTTGTGTAAAAGTCTTAAAACTCTGCTGCTAAAAACCTGCTGTGAATAATTTCACTTTGATTCGTTTAAGATACTACTGTAAAGTTTTTGAATTGTTRAAATGTTCGTATATCATCAAGGTTTACTTAGTTTGCTAGTTTGACATTTGCAGCCATCTTACCCGGCTACGTTTCTCAATCAAAACACCAATAAGTTTATAAGCTTAATATTTTGAAAAAATTGCTTGAGATTACTACGTGAATACCTCAGTTAGCTTATTTTATCCATAGGCTATCTTAAAATTACTTTTGAAGGAATTAGGATKCAGTCATTGAAGTTATCATAATGAAGATCATAGTTTTGGAGTAAAGCTTACTTATAGCTAGAGGGGATGCGAAAATATTGTTCGTTCACCTTTATTTTTATTCAGGAATATGAATGAAAGTGTTCTAATATAGCTTGTTTAAATGAAGAATTTTTACAATTCCTAAAAGAATTCTCTTATCAATCGTGCTGGTCAGGAATGTCAACAGGAATGAATTAAGCTTATTCGGACGTCATTTTGAAGCCGGATGGTCCTTTGACTTCCTGTCAGCTATGTTGGACTGTTCCGTGTTAAGTATCATGAAATCTTTTTGACAAGGATTTAAATATATTCTGAGAAGATCATCTGAACACAAGGRCTATCTGATATGGGTGTGGTAGGGGTGGACACTAGATGGGGGATGGTAGAGAGGGGTAGGCCTAATTAATGCTTATGTAGAGGTGGGATATCATCTACTTCTATTGTACTTTATTCATAAATTGATAACCTTAATAAGTACTGCACGCTATATATTGTCCTTACAATAAAATGCCGCGTATTGTTTGCAATATTGCATTTATTGTATAATGCAATATGCATGCTAGTGCAACCAAGCTTGACACACTACTGCACCTTAATGCTAAAGTTAAATACAACTACAGCTATGCTAAGTGACGTTAAGAGAAGTTCTTGCACATAAAATCTAGATGGAAAAGGTAACTACTTAATTTAAATTCTCAACAATTAACTATATCACTAATATTTAGATATAATTAACTATACAGCCTTTTGCAAAAATTATGAGAATTGTCTAAATATCTAAATATCATAATATCCATATCCATATATTGTCTGGAACACGTGGGTTTGCTAGAATAATTCATTGTTGACATCGAGAAATTGTTCAGAACTACGGATAAGTCTGTCRCCAAAAAAAACTAAACTACAAAGACAAGGGACTAAGGGCATCGCACAGGATTACCCATCATACACTCGATATTTATGATATTTAGGTATTTCAACAATTCTCATAATTTTTGCAAAAGGCTGTATCTCACTAATATTTAGATATAATTATGCAATTACTGT